GGGTGTCTACTCGCGCCTCTCGTCCGGCAAGGACTTTATCGCGCCGTACCTCACCAAGTCGAGCCTCCGCACCGAAGCCAACTAGACTTGCCGCTGGTCGTTGTTGCATCGTCTCCGTGTCTGCGCAAACGTTGTCGCTCGTCTCACACAAGTCAATGAAGTAAAAGTTTCGAATATACTTGAGTTTGTCAAAATGTTTGATTGATCGTGGATGTGAAAGGAGGACCATCTAATACATCAAAAACAATGGGGAGCTTTACCGCGTTGGATCGACGGAATAGTGTATAACACACTATTTGACCATTTTCGCGGGTCAGTTCAACGGGCGAAACGGCGTAGGTATTTTTCAAAGTCTAGCATCGATGGACGCTGCCTGGAGTCGCCGCACGTATCACCTTGCGCCACGCCCCAGTGTCCTCGAGCCTCGCATCGTCGACCGCATTCTCCAGTTTGTTGCGTGTCCCGTCCTGCTCTTTGACGTGGCGAGCCTCCTGCCACGCGGCTGCCTCAGCAGCGGCCTCGACGCGCTCCTCGAGCTCTCCAACGCACAGCCCGATACGCATCTCTGGCCCGTGCTGCGGCTAAGTACAAACGCCTATGAGCCCGCTCTACGACCGGCACTGCGCGACGCGCTTTTCTTTGTCGGTCAGTGTTCGATCGATGCGAGCGCCAACCCCGAGCAATGGGCAGACGTGATTTGGCCCCGTACACAGCTCCACATTACCAACATCAAGACGCCACCGCCGCCAACGCTGGCCTTTTTGACCAAGCACAAGCAGCAACTTCAAAGTGTCGAGGTGCATGACGTCGAGGCGCGCGGCCAGCAATCAAGCATCGTGAGTCTTCTCAAGTCGAGCGACAGCTTGCGCCGCGTCACCATCTACTGGTACGGCAATGCGAAGCAACTCAACGCGTTTTGCAAGGCAGTCCTCGACAGCGCCGGCGTCGTGGACGTGCGCCTCATCAACGGCGAGACCCCTGCGATCGAGCTGGACGACTCGTTCGCTGACGTTTGCGACGACATTCCACTGCCAACGCCTGCGACCAACTCGCTTTTTTCAATGATCAGAAAGAGTCGGCTCCGTGCGCTTGCGCTCAACGGCCTCACCTTTGACGAGACAAAGCACAAAGCGTTTCAGAAACTCATGATGTCGAATCACGGGCTCGAGTCCCTCGAGCTCGTCCGGTGCCACGACATTGTACCCTCGAGCTTTCACACGTTTTTGTTCTCGCAGACGCTGCGTGTGCTACGCGTTACCAGCGCCAGTCTCATGAGAGAAGATTGCTTCAGCGCCGCGCAGGGTTCCAACGTGCACACGCTCGACCTCTCGGAGCAGAACATGGGCGAGTATGGCATGCTTCGCCCAACTCTTCATGGCGTAGCCCAAATGAAACATCTCCAACGACTGCGCCTCAGCCGAGTCGGTCTGCACGACGAAGCCATTGGCTGGGTGGTCCGCGCGCTGCTGCCAACGCGCGTCCGAGAGCTCGATCTCAGTGGTAACGAGATCGCACGCGCCGACATCAAGTACTTTGCGCGGACACTGCCGCAGTGGCGGGCTCTCGAAGTTTTGAATCTCTCGGGCAACCAAATCTGCGACGACAGCGCGAGTCAGCTCTTTGCGGCACTGCCATACGCACTGCCGGCTTTTCAGCGCTTGCAATTGTTTGAGAATTACCTCGGCGACCGCGCCGTCATGGCGCTGGTGTCGGCGCTGCCGTATCTCCAGCACATGGCCGAGATCGACGTCTCATACTGCGGGCTCCGCATCGACCACGTCAAGGCACTCATCATCGCCTTGTCCCGCGCGCGGCGCCGGGTCCGTCTGAACGTGTTCAATTCTCGCTGGTCCGACGACGAGATTGCACAAGTGTGTGCGATGGCTCGAAGCGCGCGCCTCATGGCGACGTACCGAACCCACGCGGATGTTCCGTCGTCGAGACAAAAGCATCATTCCACGAAATACGAAACGTATGCGCGCCTGGACATCTTTTAGACAACTGGAGACAAATAGACTATAAGACAAATATATTGAGCTACATGTGGTCCACCGCCAGGAGCGACATTAAAGTAAGCTTTCCGGTGTACAAGGCAATCGAACATACAAGTAGAAGCTATAGAGACTAGGGTCCTGCGGAGTGGGCATCCACGATCAATCAAACATTTTGACAAACTCAAGTATATTCGAAACTTTTACTTCATTGACTTGTGTGAGACGAGCGACAACGTTTGCGCAGACACGGAGACGATGCAACAACGACCAGCGGCAAGTCTAGTTGGCTTCGGTGCGGAGGCTCGACTTGGTGAGGTACGGCGCGATAAAGTCCTTGCCGGACGAGAGGCGCGAGTAGACACCCGGCTTGTTGGCCAACGCGCAGCCCTCGCCCCAGCTGACGACGCCGATCTGGACCTCCTTGCCGTTCTTGACGGCCGTGAGCGGACCACCCGAGTCGCCCTGGCACGAGTCCTGGCCCTTGACACCGCCCGCGCAGATCATGGACTCGTGGATGCCGTTGAGGGTCTTGGCGCACTGGTCGTTGGCCCACACCTTGACGCCGACCTCGAGCAGCACCTTGGACTGCGAGCCGCCGGAGCGGGTGGTCCCCCAGCCGCGGACCTTGGCGACGACGCCCGGCGCGT